ATTAAAACGAAACCTTCTAATCAACCTCATTAACCTATAGACCGAGCAGTTTCAGCGTGAGCTGTGGGATGCATATTTAATTACGATGATTACGAAAGTGTGGCCACCCGGTGGTTGGTCGATAGTGGACGTCGTTACCCTCCTTTCCTTTTCGTATTTTGCAACGGGATGATGATGAAGGGTAACGGAAAAGGAAAGAAGAGAAGAGAAGAGAAGAGGAAGGAGGGAGGAGAGGGGGAGAGGTTTGAATAAAAAATCGAGGTCAAAATTTCCCTACCCTATCGGCTTTGCAATTCAATGTTTTCCCTCGATTTTATGTTTATCCCGGCATCGATTGTTGATAACGTCACAAGTGTGTGTATGTGTATGTCAGGAGGAAGCTTTCGTGGAAATTTTCATTCGTTGTTAACGAGAATTTTAATGTTTATATAATTTTTTCGTCCTGATGAAAGTTCGAGTCGCTTTTTTTTTTTTTTTTCTCGAAGAGAATTCGAGATTTTACGACGATGGACGATTCACTGGAATCGATTATTCACAAATCTCTCTCTCTCTTTTTTTTTCTTTGAAACGAGAATTAAATAAATAATCTATTGAAACAACTTACCGACAGTCGGTAAAAACAGTCATATTTAACGATCGTCTCGCACTTTTCTTCTTTCAACCGATTTATTTATCTCGAGAGATTAAAAAGAGACAAGGTTGTGAGGGGGCAATTCAACGAAGGATATCCGTGAAACGTGTGTTCCCTGCCCGCGTACGTTGATCCAATTTAATATTAGGAAAGTAGCGACACGAGATCCACTCATCTTCTCCGCTTCTTTCCTCGAATCACCTTTGTGTCTCGAATATCGAATCTGCGTTCGCGGGTGAACGGCTCCGTTCGACTTCGAAACCGTTTTCGCCCTAACGAGCGACTTTAATTTCTGCCCTGTTTCCGCGTCATTTGGCCGGGAGAAGAAGAAGAAGGGGCTAGACGAAAATCACGACAGGCTGACACAAATCTTCCGGCTCATACAAATCTTCATTCGGTTATCTGCCTGGCTGGCTGCCTCCCTTCGTTCCCTCTCCATATTTCTCTTCTCCTCTCTCCTTTTTTCATCTTATTTTTAGATCACCCCTTCCTCCCTTTTCTCTTCACGAACGAGGAATATCGACGATACGATTGATTTGGACACTTTTTCTCCCATTTCTTTCCCGATTTTTTCGTCGATTTAATTTAAATTTCATCTCATCTCGCGTCTTCAGTTTTCGATTTCGGGATCAATGAAATAATATATCGTTATTATCGAAAATTTAATTTTTGAGTCTGAAATCTTTTTCACGAGGTGGAATGATTAAAAAGAAAAAAAGAAATGGTGGATTTCATCCATCCAGGATCTTACAGTATATAGTCACACTCGAAACAATCAACCTTTGATCCCCCCCTGGTTGACCGTGCTGACTCAACCCAGATGTCGATCACGATCCATTTGCCTCGCCAAGGGTAACAAACTGGTCCCTCAACTGTCCCTCCCTCCCTCCCTACATCCTGATTGCCGGCCTTCCACGATAATATACCTTTATACGTATCGCGAACGTATACGATACGATCGAACATGACTTTCTGGTTAAAGTGTATCGGGGAGAACGAAATCGACGGACCCGATTGATCCGTCAAATAGCTCAGAAAATTGGAATTTTCCGCTGAGAGATCGGCCCGCGTTTTATTTATTTCTCGCTCGAGCACGATCGAGATCGATTTCCTTAACTTTCACCCCTTAAAAAAAAAAGAAAAGAAAAAATAATCTCCAAACTGTTGGAAAGGAGATGAAAGGAGAGGAAGAAAGTATAGTTGTTCCAAGTATAGTTAGGCTTATCCTCTCCCCCTCCTCCTTGTAATTTTCCAAAGACCGCCAGACTGCGAAAGACTCCTTTTCTGCCACCCACCTGTCCCCAGAACGATACACGAGACACGAGAGCCATCCATCTTGAAAAACGATAACCGGTCCCCGACGGTGTTGCGGATCTTATCGGGACTGTCTCGAGGGGGGGAGGTAGGAGATGGTCCACCCCCTTGAGAAAGATTTCACTTTCCATGTGGACGATCCATCATGTTGTCCCGATTTTTGGAAAAATCGCGTTTCGAACCAGATGTTGTCGAGATTTCTTCTTCTTTGTTGCAACAGCTCTCTCGTTCGAGGGCAAAGCAGCGTTGGTAAACTCGTTTGACGCGAGTTCTCCTGGCATTTATTAAATTAAGTCTTCGTGAGTCCGTCCACGAACAGATACGTGGTGAAATAGGGTTGGAAATGGAAAATTTCAATCGTGAAAATAAGCTTCTTCGAGGATGGCAGGAGGATCCCTTGGGATAAGGATCTTGGGATAATGAAAATTGCACGAAATGGAGATCAAGGGATGTCGCGAGCTTGGGTCCAGAGGTGAGAAGTATGGTCGAAGAATTTGTTGTCCTATTCTATTCGTCATCGATTTTGGAAAAATGCATTTTTCTGTAAGTGAAAGTTTGGAAGAACAGAAAGTAGGGTATACGATTTGAAAAATATTGTTCAGTAAAATTCAATAGCTGAACTCGCTTCCATAATTTATTTCCATAATTTATTTTCGACTACATAATAGCCACGAATAAATATCAATTTTCATTTACTACAAATGCCCATACTCTTGTCCAACCTCAAGACACCTACCTCTCCTGTTCACACCGTGTTTAACGATTCGTTCGTTAAGAAAAGAGTCGGATGTCGTCGCGAAGAAGAACCATTCCACCCCTTCCTCGCCTCTCTGGCCGACAAAAGCGTGGCCGGCAATTATTATCATCCCAAACCAAGGCAGTCAAACAACTCTAACCTACTCGTGGAAACTCCCAAAAGACCAATTAACCCCCAAGAGAGCGGGCACGAAATCCATTGTCCATCCGACTGGCCGGCAACTGGTCCAAGAAACATGGCCCTGTTAGGTCTGTCGTCGAGCAAATTGTCAAGCGAGCGGAACGTGCCGCGTGTTTGTCCTGCAATTAATGCGAGCCGCGCGAATCCTCGAGAGCAAATAACCGGAGGGAGGCAGGGGAAGAGAGAGAGAGAGGGGGGGGCAGACAGAGAGGGAGAGGGTGGAGGGGAAGAGGCCAACGGAAACTCATCGGATCGCGTTGCAGCTCGGACGTGAAATTGCTTTGTCAACCGTCCGGAGACCCTTGCGAGGGGACTGCGGACAGCTGGACTCCAGACGATCGTGAAACCGTTTCGTGCGGCCACGCGACGAAGGGAGAGGATCCTTGGCATTTCGACGCGTTCTTCTTCTTCTTCTTCTTCTTCTTCTTCTTCTTCATCTTGTTCCAAGGAGGGAGGATCCTACGAGTCCAATTTCCAATCGGGATTTTAAGGGATTTCGCGACGATTATTCCGTGAAAGTTATCATCTTCGAGGATACGATCGCCTCGAGGAATTTGATTTTTTTCTTTTTTTCTTTTTTTATCGAGAATTTATTATTTATAATTATTACTATTATACTCGTTGTTCGTGTGAAAGAAATAGTTCGATTTTATTTTCGGAAACGGGAGGTATACAATTAAATTCGAACGATGGATCTTGTCCACGGATGATTTGGAGAGAATTGAAAGAAGAGTTGGAGGGGATCGAGTATATTTTCTTTGGAAGATAATTCGTAGATTAGGAGATTGTGAATAATAGGTGGTTCGATTGCACGATTGAAGCTAAGAGACAAAACTATTCGTGTATATACAGGAAACCTTCTTTCTTTCTTCTCGACACCGTAAGAGATTCTTAAGGAATTTTCTTCTTCCTCGAGTGTTCTTCGCTTTCTTGTCGTACACTCACCGTCTTCTTTCCATTTCCCGTTTTTCATTTTTTCCTTTTATAATACACCACTCGATCACGAAGTTCAAAACGTTGTGCAATTCCCTTCCCTAAATTTCTTAATTGTTTAAAAAATCGATCCTCGACTCTCCTCCATAGATTCCAGCCAACGAACGAGAACAGATTCCATAATCGGAGGAAAAAGGGGCCCAAAACAGGAGACAAGAGACAAATCAATAAAAGAACAATTCATAACCCCTCTCTCATCCATCCATCCATCCATCCATGCATATCCCGTGCATCTTATCGAGCGTAAAAGACCAAGCGAGGGATTATTTCCATAAGTATTCGTCAAAGGACCTCCCCTTCCCCTCTCCCCCCCCCCCTCCCTCCCACGAGCAGCGAGTCGAGTCTTTTCTTAGGTAGCTCGCGGCGTGATCCTTGCGGGACTCTTTGATCTGCCATTCTGTCTCTCGGTCGAGATGACTGGCAGCGCCGCCATCTCCCCTCCGCTCCCGCAACCACCGCCCACGAGCTTATGAATTATCTCGCGGCGAGCAGCGGGTATTTTCCCCGGTTGAAAGGTCGCCATACTTGTGCGCTCTCCTTTACTTTACGGGGATCGGATCTAGGAATCGGGCACACGCGAGGATCCTGTTTATCGTCGTCGCGCTTCCTTTGAGGGATCAACTCGTGGAATTAGAGGCAAGGAGGGGCAAGGAGGGGGGGGAGGAGATGGAGGGTCTTCCTGATCCTGTTACCGCGGAGAATCGACGGTTAAACGTGTTTACGGAGTTGGAAGGATTTTAATAATCCACCTTGGGACCGGGGGGGGGGGAACCGGTATGGTTTCTTGGTGGAGAGGGAGTTGGGTTGGGAATGGAGGAGGAGGGAGTTTTTTTGGGATGGTGGAATTTTTTTTAAGACGATTTTAGAACATGGCGGTTGAGAGAATTGTTTGATTTGTTTAATTTTGGAGCTTATTTATAATCATAATATTTTTTATCGTTGTTTTTTGTATATTTTTGACTATTTGTTTTTTTTTTTTTTTTGATATGTAAGTAATTAAGGATGGTTTTTTTTTTTATTTGTAAGGAGAGACGAGGGAAGATGAATGTTTTTAATTATTATATGTCGAGCGATTTGATGGGTTATATGTTAAAATTTGGTGGTTTTTTTTTCTTATTGTTTCAGAGGGGTAGCGACGAGCTTTTGTCGCAAAGCGGAGCAGTTAGCAATGGTGCTGCAATGAGTCCACAACCACATCACGCGGCCGATAACAACAATGACGCCAAGAAGGTAAGTGACGACTCGTTAATTCGAGTTTTACGAAAATTTTACGAAAATCCTTAAAATTGTTAAGAAATTGTTTTCTTCTAACAAAAATTAATCTTTAAAGATCGCTTTGCTCTTACATCTTTCCCGAAGAAAATTTTCTCCAAAAATTCCTCTTTTTCCGACAAAAGTTTCTTTTGAAACGAATATTCCCTTAAAAATTAAATTCCTTCAAAGAATTCCTTTCAAATTTTGATTTCCCTCTTTTTTTCCCCCCTTCGCATTGGCGAACAAGAAACCAAGCTAGATCCGATGGAAATTTGGAGATGCATTTGAAATCGGAGCAGAGAGGTGCCAGATCCTCTGACCCAGTCGTGAAAAAATTTCGTTAAAACGACGAAAAACTCGGCAAAGCGACCGGATCACTTTTTCCTCGCGCAGTCGGTTATTTTTCATATTCGTCCTTTTTTCGTTAAGTTTAATTATTCCAACATGGTTAATCCAGGAAAACTTTATGATATAACGCCATCAAAGGCGATTTGCAAAGATTGAGGGAGAATTTGATAAAAAAAAAAAAGAAAAAAAATGGAGGCAGCAGGTTTTGGACGCTTTGCCTTGCGATTGAATCTGAATTTTTATCGCAAAAGAATCTTTCACTATTTCATAAATTCTTTTTAAATCTTCCTTTTAAAAAAATATTTTTTGACACAGAATCTATCAAATAATTCGTAAGTATTTTTTACTTCTTTTAATTTTTTACTTCTATCAACGTATGTGTTTCGTTCGATCACAAATGCGGAAGTAANGTTTCGTTCGATCATAATAAATGCGGAAGTAAATAATATAATAATCGATATTTCACTTAAATTCAATCATAGAATATTCACATTATAATATAGAGTGAAGAAAGATATTTTTCAATACTAATCCTTTAATATCTACAAATATAATTTACGATCTATATATATATATATATACGATTCGATTATGGCAAATTCGTCCCCGAAAAAAGGTAAACCGAAGTGTAAAAAGGACCACTTCATTCGTTTCACGGGAAACACGTCGTACGAAAATTCGTACCCTCCTCCCCGGAAGCTGAAAATACGACAGGATTAACCAATCGTTCCGTGTCTCTGTCGAAAAATCGTATCTATTTTTCACTGTCCCCTCTGGAAATTTCCAACTATGACAGCTTAGCAAAAAAAAAAAAAAAAAAAAAAAAAANAAAAGTATCACTCGTCAGTCATATCCCTGTTTCAACGATGTACCAATTTCTGTTTTTTACATACGCGCGCGGGGAAAGCGGGTGTATGGGTGAAAAATGGCACGAAATTGGCATATTTAACAGAAATTAACGGGTGGAACCGCGGCTAAGCAGTTAAACGTTCATCCCGTGTCACCCGCAAAAACTGATAACAAATTGTCTCGAATCGGGGGAAAATTAATCGAGCACACCTGTTGTTACCCCACCGATATTAATTATACACCTCGACCTTAACAAACTTTTTCCAAGACGTATGGAGGGAGACTTGTCCACTCGAATCTCGAATTTTTTCCCTCGATTGTTCGAACGAAATTTGACTCGAATACGAGTCGTTTATTAAATTAAAAATCGCACGATCGAATATTTAAGAATTGTCGGATTGTCTGTTAATGGAAAAGCATCGTGGAAGCACGTGTTCAAGCACGTGTAAAAATTCTGAGGTACAATAGTTTATATTCATTTGTATTTTGGATTGATCGTTCGAATATAATGAGGTTTTTAAGTAAGCCAATTTTTAAGTAACAATTATTTTTTAAAATGAAAAAAATAAATGGACAAAATGATAGAAGAATGATAGATACATTTGGTCAATGAAATATTATTATACAATACGTGTGTTTGAAAATCGATGGATAATATTTATATTGTTTAAATTATTTTGTGTAAATCATGCGTTATATCTCGTCTCTAATTTAATCTGCACGTTTTAACATTTATATAAATTGATATCTCCGGTAATTCGGTAAATTTATAATTGTTCTCTGACCCCAGCCAATCAGATATCAATTGTGAATTTCCCATTTGAAAATGCGATATTAACTGCGTTTGATGTAAATCAGTACTCGTTGATACGATTAATATTTCTGGATGAATACTTGGTATTATGATATGAATTAAAAGAAAAAAAAAAAAAAACATCATGAAAATAAGATCGTGAAAATTATATAAAAATTAACAATAATCGATCACTTGGATTATCCTTATGAGATAGTTCAGAATAAAAAATATATTCTCCTCGCTTAATCTAATCCAAATATATAATATTTCTTCGGTCAATCTTCGACACATGTTCGACACTCGAAACTTTGCTTAAAGATTCGCGCGAGATTTCTTTTTTCAAAATTTCGATTTTGAACTTTTGAACTCTCTTTTCGTTCGTATTATGTGACCTTCGTAGAGAAAAGGAAAAGAGAGAGGAAAAAAAAGGGAGGGNGAATATTTATTATTGTCAGTCACGCGTGACGTGAGAGGAACGAAAAAATGTCGGAAGTTTAGGCGAATAGAGGCAGCTGTGTGCTCGTAAGCTCTGCGGATCATGCACGTGCACCGGGTGCATCAAAACTTGCAACCCTCGTTAATCATTCGTCCGCACGGATGGAAAAAGGAAGGGGAAAAAAAAGGGTTGTGTGTATATGGTTCAAGGATTTTCGATTCTTGTCCCTTCTGCTTCTGATTCTTGATGCCTTAAAGGGTAAAGATAGGTGGTGCATAACTCGATCGATAATGCAGAACAATCTTTTCAATACCGAATTTAATACCAATTTTTCTCCCTTGTAAATGTATTTGCCTGTTGGAAAGCCAAGTTCGTGCTTGGTCTATCTATATCTGTGAACAAGAAAATATGTTTTAAGAATCTAAATTATTAAAAATACAGTTTTACAATTTTACTGTAATTTCGCTAATAATTTTATTCTCTTTTTCCACAAGAGATCGGCAAAAGCAGGCTCTAGAAGTGACAAGAAACATTTCATCAGCATTGTAAATTCATTAATAAGGGCAATCTCGCGACACTCTTAAGGCATTAAATTATCATTGGACCAATTTTTTTCTAACGGCCGCCACGAATCCTGCACAAAAGTCTCCTTAACTCCTGACTGATCGTTTTTGACAACTCGATCTCCTGAGGAATTTCTAAACATCGAACACCCGATCTAACCCGATCTAACCCGACTTAACCCGATCTAACCCGACCTAACCCGATTTAATCCGATCTAACTCAACCTAACCCGATTTAACCCGATCTAACTCGATCTAACCCGATTTAACCCGATCTAACTCGACCTAACCCGACTTAACACGATCTAACCTAACTTGACCTAATTCAATCTAACCCGATCTAACCTAACTTGACCTAACTCAATCTAACTCGATCTAACCCGACCTAACCCGACTTAATCCGACCTAATCCGATTTAATTCAATCTAACTCGACCTAACCCGATTTAACCCGATCTAACCTAACTTGACCTAACTCAATCTAACTCGATCTAATTCGATCTAACCTGATCTAACCTGAGCTAACCGGATCTAACCCGACCTAATCCGACTTAACCCGATTTAACCTGACTTAATTTAATCTGATCTAACTCGATTTAATCCAACCTAACCCAATCTAACTCGACCTAACCTTGGAAAGAAAGGAACATCACGCGAATTTTCGTGGCCCGCTAACGATTTCGCGCTCTTTTTTCTTTTTTTCTGGTGGAAAACATGAAGAGAGCGTGGAAAAGTAGAGCGTGTATGTTTCCAAAGTAAAAAGTTGAGGACGCGCTTTGTCACCGAATCCACCGTTGTCCATGTCTGCTTTCTCCTTTGCGGTTAACGATCCATGACTTGTCGTCGTCGTCGTCGTAACCAGTGACGTTGTCGCGAATCTCTTGCAGAATACGTAAACGCGCGTGACAACAATATCTATTCTTGGCAAATGTGACGTTTTTTGTTTGGGGAGGAACGAATCGATCAGATATAATATTTTCATATGGAATCGATCATCGATCGGGATTGTAAGTGGTAAGATTATAATTAACACGTACGGTGAAAACAAATGATGCTTGTGACGTGAATGATGTATGTTTTAAGAGTTTACAAAGCAAGCAAATATTGGTAATCGAACGAAGGATTTTTCTCTTTTTAGAGTAAGAGCTAAAAACAATTTTTGGCCGATTCAATTCAAAGCGAGAATGTTGAAAATATCCTAAAATTTTCAAAAAGATAATTATCAAAATAGTCCGCTACAAAGAGGAAAAATTGTCAGCAAAAATTCTTGATGAGAGAAATAGTTATTATGAAAAAAAAAAAAAATCTGTTCCAATATCTTTGGAACAATTCCAATAATGAGAATCTTAATAAGAATAGTCGAACTTATTAAGATTCTCTAATAGTAGAATTTTCGAATTTTCCAAAAATCTCCAAAAGTTTAATCGTATCAAAATAATAGAAAAAAAAAATGACCATTTAAAATTTTCCAAAACTATCGAAATAATACACACGATACACAATTGACTTCTCAGCAAAAATTCTCTTCTATGGAAGGTCGACGATGACGCAAGGGTCACCATGAAAAAAAGAAAAAAAAAAAAAAAGAACCAGCCCTAATATCGTGAGTGGCGTTGGCCACTCTGCTTTATTAGGTGGACAACAGGGTCCCCTTTGTCCCAGTTTCTTTTTGATGTGCCATTTTCCGCTTCGTTCCGTCCCATTATCCACAAATGGTCACTGCGACGCTCATTCGCGAGGGAGCGCGTGGATTTCACCCCTGAGAAAGAAAGGGTTCGCGTCAAGGTCTCGTTAAAGGTGTAAAGACCCAGAGTCGATTACCGGACATTATTATTATTATTATTTTTTCCCTCTCTCTCTTTCTCTCTCTGTCTTCCCCTTTGAACTTCAATCGTCGCCTTCATCCCTCTCTTCTCCCCTCCTCATGGTTTTTGCTGCTTCTGATGAAAAGGCCAGGTTGACGACCCGTGGGACGTTGGCCGCTC